TGATAATTCTTAATATTACTGATAAACCTTTCAAATTCTTAGAGACATTGCAAATATATTATTCCTTAAATATTAAATATATTATGTATTGATTACTTAGTCTGTAGAGAACATCCCTTTTCACTGGTGCATTGTAATTTGAGTCGTTGTCCCATAATATAAGATATAAACAAAATTTAGATAATTTAATGAAAGTAGAATCAGGTTTGACATGAAATATTTAAATTCTTTTACAATTATCCAAACTTGTAATGGTTAAAGATAAATTGATATTGTACAATGAAACTTAAACTTCCAATATATATGGTTGCTTGTGATAAAAAAGAGGGAAGAAATAAAGACTTTTATGCACTGAATGCACTGATAATTTAGAATCTAATCTAAATAATGTAATGAGCTTTAAAAAAGTTGCTTAAATAATTGAAGAAAATTAAAAGAAGAAAGTAGAATCAGTCGAATAACATATTATGATGAATATCAACAAGATCAATGCACTTTAGGAAACATTATATTTATTAAAACAAAGATTATTTAATAAATAGATTAACTAATTAGTAATACAAAAGAATGGATCAAATGTTTATAAGAAATTGGATAAGAAAATGCCAATTACAGTTTTATCGAATAATTGGGTAATTTAATTAATCAAATTTAAGTTGGAAAATTTGATTGCACACCATTAAATACCTAAATTAACACAATTAATCACTCTTGGAATCAAAAAAACACATAAAAAGTTGACTGATTTGAATTGACAAAAAAGTGTGAAGAATTATTAATAAATTTAACTACTACTATTTAACAATCCACCACTTATGAATTAATCTACAATCATTCAATTAGATAAAGTGAATGATGTCAAGCAATTGCTATAAGAAAGATAATTCAATTGTATTTGCTGGATGTGATAATGAGATCAAAGTGTTTGGATTTAAACAAGAATAGTTGAAACTAATTCAACTTCTAATTGAACATACAAATAAAATTACAACTTTAAATTTATGAAGAAATCGATTCAATTTATATCGGGGAGTGCAGATAAATAGATTATTATATGGTGTATGGATTAACAGAGTTAATGGATCTGCTAATACTAATTGAATCAACATTAAAGTTGGATTAATTGCTTATTATTGAATAATAATGAAGATCTTATCCTATCAGGAAGTAATGATAATACAATTAAATTTTGGACAAAAAAGAATGAATGGACATGTTCATAAACTATTTCTGATTCTACAAATTATGTTGTGGGATTAAGTTTGAATGAAAAATAAAATAGAGTGATATCTTGTGGATATGAAATGCTTTTTTTATTAATAATAGAGTAGTAATAATAGAATTAAAAATGGAATGTAATTTAAAATATAACAGTTAATTAATATGGTATCGAATATGTTTCATCAATGATAATGTATTCATATTTCAACCTAGACTTAAAGAACAAATGTATGTTTATGAGATGAATAGTAATCATAATTAGTATTCAAAAACAAAGTAAATTGCTGTGAAATCTAATTATAATGGGTGTGCTTTTAACTATCCTTAATAATATATCAAGTCGAAATGCCTGCTTGTGAATAAAAATGGATAAAATGCTAGTTTGATAAGAAAGGAACAAAATGGTGAATTTATAACTTAATAATCTATTTAATTTGGATCTGCCGATATATATGGATAGGTAAGTGAAAATGGAGAGTATTGATGACTTGGGATGGGAAATCTAAACAAATTTAAATTCGAAAATATCAGTAATTATGTTCACCAATGAATGAATTAGTATCAAAATTAAATACAATATTATTTAGTTTATTTATTTTTAAAAGAATTAAGGAATACAAAAGTAGCCAAATAAAATAGGAGAAAAGTAAATGTTTAGTAATGGTACCAAATATTAGCTTTCCATAAAGAGATAGATTTTGGTTGTGATTTGTATTTAGCATTCAGATGCCATCTAAATTAACAGTTAAATAGAAGCAACTTTTTGGAATTTAAAGAATGGAAATTGCGTGTATTATTCCTAAAAATGTGCTATTTGATATTTACCAAGAAAATAAAGATTATGTAAGAAATTTTAGTTTACAAGTTGTTTCTATGGATGCAAAATCAACTTTAATCAAGGTTTCAATTTCATAAAAATGGGTGGTTAATATATGATAACAGTAATTATTCTTACTCTTCCACAACTCCATTAATGAAAATCATATAAGGATCTATCGAATTAAATTATGATCTAGCAATCTATAATTTATGATAAATAATAAATTTTATGGCATTAAGAACCTGAAAGCAAGGGGAAGCTAGAGAAAAATTGATAACATAAGTAAAAGTTCGATAGAGGGAATGTTAATTTGACTGTCTAAAAAGGAGAATATTATTAAAAATTTTATTGAATAAGGATTAAATACTTTAAATTATTAAGGTTAGGAAATTAATGGATTCTAAAATATAACATTTCCTCAGAATGTTTGGAACATCTTTAATTAATTTTTTCAACAAGGAATGAAAGTTTCGAATAACAAATTTTCATCAGATTAATTTTTGAGGAATAGTTGTTATCGAAGAAAGATATCTCATTTGCAGAGTTAATTTAGAATAATAAATACAATGCTAAACGTAATTTATTCACAGTAAGTTTTGTGTGAATGAACTTGAAAAACTGCACTGAAGAACTTGCATCTTAATTAAACCCTTTGTCTAATTTTTCAAACACATTATTATAATTGTTCATCAAATCATAAAATTTTGTACTCTAAATATATTTTTTTAAGTAAAAATCTACAATCCAATAAATCAAACAATATTGTGACTTTTCGCCTATTTTTCAATTTCTTAAAAGAACATCAAATATTGATATTTGCATTTTTATAAATTGTTTAAGAAATATTATTATTTAGTAAATTGTGTGCCTAAACTTAATTTTTTAAAACTATATAGTGTTAATTGGACTTAATTAATTTCGCTTAATAGTTTGATTCTAATTTTATACATAATAAAGGTAGAATTAAGAGAATCAATACAGATCTTATATTTTTGAAAATAAATAACATTACATTTTTGGTAATATATCATATATTTCTGATCTTTTAAAGCCTATTATGGTCTACTTGAAGATAAAATTAAAAGCTTTATTTAATTTCCAGAAATAGAAGCTTAGATCTTCCTGATACATTTAATCTTAAAACAGGGATTTATTAATGTAACCCTCTACGGCTAAATCTTAACCATATCACAAGATATCAAAAGCTAGGTAGATATTCCATTTTAAGTGATAAATGGGGAGAGAAGCTAGGAATATGAATAATTTATCTAATTTATTCTCTTAATTTCTGCCTCTATAGAAAGGGAAAGTCTGCTAGCTATCTATCTTTTAATCAAGTTGGTTTTTAACAATGTCACCATCACGAGCCTGATTAGTGCTGTAGGTTAGAGAACATACTATCTTCTTCAAGCAAGATGAGACTATATGATTATGTTAGTAAAATTTAATTTCATGTAATTTTCAGATTCTAACGCTCCTACATCTGATACTCATAACAATGAGATCCACCCTCACTATGCAAGAATCTATCAGTTTCTCTCTTAAGCCTTGATTATGGATCTAGTCTTGGTAATAACTAGTCCAAAAAAAGATTGAAAAACAGTTTTTCAATAAATTTAGAGTCTGTTTCAAAGTTTACTCACAAAACATAAAGGTCACTAATATAAAACATTATTAGGTTAGCCTGGCCTTCATTGGCTTCATAGCTTACTCTGTGAGGATAACTAATAAATATTTAGATATAATTGCTAGATAATCTTATCTTATTTTTTTTTCCTTCATACATTATCTATCTATCACCTTAATGATGAGAGATTGGAATACATATTTGGCCTTTTCTTTACTATATTTCATACTAAGCCAACTTAAATATCTTGTTATTTTAAATAGAGTAACCTTCTTTCACCTTTAACATACTTAATGTGCTGAGGCCTGTTGCTCCTATCATTTAATTTNAAGGATTAAATACTTTAAATTATTAAGGTTAGGAAATTAATGGATTCTAAAATATAACATTTCCTCAGAATGTTTGGAACATCTTTAATTAATTTTTTCAACAAGGAATGAAAGTTTCGAATAACAAATTTTCATCAGATTAATTTTTGAGGAATAGTTGTTATCGAAGAAAGATATCTCATTTGCAGAGTTAATTTAGAATAATAAATACAATGCTAAACGTAATTTATTCACAGTAAGTTTTGTGTGAATGAACTTGAAAAACTGCACTGAAGAACTTGCATCTTAATTAAACCCTTTGTCTAATTTTTCAAACACATTATTATAATTGTTCATCAAATCATAAAATTTTGTACTCTAAATATATTTTTTTAAGTAAAAATCTACAATCCAATAAATCAAACAATATTGTGACTTTTCGCCTATTTTTCAATTTCTTAAAAGAACATCAAATATTGATATTTGCATTTTTATAAATTGTTTAAGAAATATTATTATTTAGTAAATTGTGTGCCTAAACTTAATTTTTTAAAACTATATAGTGTTAATTGGACTTAATTAATTTCGCTTAATAGTTTGATTCTAATTTTATACATAATAAAGGTAGAATTAAGAGAATCAATACAGATCTTATATTTTTGAAAATAAATAACATTACATTTTTGGTAATATATCATATATTTCTGATCTTTTAAAGCCTATTATGGTCTACTTGAAGATAAAATTAAAAGCTTTATTTAATTTCCAGAAATAGAAGCTTAGATCTTCCTGATACATTTAATCTTAAAACAGGGATTTATTAATGTAACCCTCTACGGCTAAATCTTAACCATATCACAAGATATCAAAAGCTAGGTAGATATTCCATTTTAAGTGATAAATGGGGAGAGAAGCTAGGAATATGAATAATTTATCTAATTTATTCTCTTAATTTCTGCCTCTATAGAAAGGGAAAGTCTGCTAGCTATCTATCTTTTAATCAAGTTGGTTTTTAACAATGTCACCATCACGAGCCTGATTAGTGCTGTAGGTTAGAGAACATACTATCTTCTTCAAGCAAGATGAGACTATATGATTATGTTAGTAAAATTTAATTTCATGTAATTTTCAGATTCTAACGCTCCTACATCTGATACTCATAACAATGAGATCCACCCTCACTATGCAAGAATCTATCAGTTTCTCTCTTAAGCCTTGATTATGGATCTAGTCTTGGTAATAACTAGTCCAAAAAAAGATTGAAAAACAGTTTTTCAATAAATTTAGAGTCTGTTTCAAAGTTTACTCACAAAACATAAAGGTCACTAATATAAAACATTATTAGGTTAGCCTGGCCTTCATTGGCTTCATAGCTTACTCTGTGAGGATAACTAATAAATATTTAGATATAATTGCTAGATAATCTTATCTTATTTTTTTTTCCTTCATACATTATCTATCTATCACCTTAATGATGAGAGATTGGAATACATATTTGGCCTTTTCTTTACTATATTTCATACTAAGCCAACTTAAATATCTTGTTATTTTAAATAGAGTAACCTTCTTTCACCTTTAACATACTTAATGTGCTGAGGCCTGTTGCTCCTATCATTTAATTTCAAAATTTTAACTGCTTATAATCACTTTAAGTTTTATTCTCATCTATATCTGCTCACAATCTTTTAATCTTGTGCAAATCTTATTAAAGTAGATTCCAACTTTCAAAATTACATAACTAGAACAAACTTCCGTAGGATATCCTAGCGATTGTAGTTTTTCTACCTCCATAGATATCCTTCATTAAACTCTCCTCTTTGTGTTTCTTTGACATCTACTTCCAATTTTCACTAGAAATTTTTCACTATTACTTCTGCCAATATAAGCGCAACAAATCGGTTTATTATTAACCTTGGAAATTATTTACATGTTCAAATCATGAATAAAATGACTCTAACCCTTCTAAAGCTTGCGGGTTTATCAACAATCTGATTGTCCTTACATGCACTCCTGCATATAGTAATTTCTTTCCTTGTCTGCTTTTTCAGCACCATATCAATAGAAGAGGTGACTTAAAAACGTCTTCAATAGACTGAAATCAAATTACTATATTGCTCTTGAAACTAATTTGCATGTATCCTACCCTACCCTCTTCATTATTCTATGCTAAAACCAACCAGACTGCACTATCCTTTACATCAGTCTGCATATCTTCCACAAATCAAATAGAATGAACTTGATAAGATTCTCAACATCATATCTTTAGTTGGCACTAACCTTCATCCTATCTCATTAATCCTATTCTAATAAAAGACTTAGAAGAAGTAACCTAGGTATTTGGAGTGCAATTTAAATTATAGTAAGCACATATGAACTTAAATTAATGCAGTAAAATAAATAAAAAAGAAATAGAAGGTTGTTTATTCTTTTAGACAAGTATTAGAATATAGAAAGAGCGATTTTCGATCGATAGTATTAAACTTAGTTGTTAATTTCAATTATAATTGATCTCAAAATTTATAAATTTAATGGGACATAGAAGAGCTTTAGCATCAAAGTTTCAAGAAGAGAAAGAAAAGTAATTCTATTACTTTAGCCTCCACTTAAAAAAAAATAAATAATGTAATGATAAGTCAAAAATGTCAAAAAATAAATTTTCATAAACCTCATAGTAATTATGGGTTAGTAGACCCAATTGGTTCTAATTTTTGGATATGTGTGAATAGAGTTAAGTGTTGTAGGATAAGATTACAGAAGAATTACACACTTTGCCTAGTGCTATATTCCACATAGAAAAACTTGTTTCTGATAAGATGAATACGAGTTAAAGCAATTCGGTGAACCTTGATTTTAAGGGATTTTAAAGAAATACAACATCAGATTCGTGGAATAAGGCATTATCAATAAAGCAGGGAAAAAAGAATCTCACTATTGGAGGAATTACTGACTGTTAATGATTTGGAAGAGATGCAAAATCTCTGTAATTATGATGAAAATAAAAGATCAATTTAATGCATAGGTTTTAATCTCGAAATAAATTTTGATTATTAGCACACTTACTTATTTTGAAATTATCTTTAATGTTATAGTTTCAGTAAATTTAGAATTTGAAGAATTGGTTCTAAGTTTTCTCTCAATTGCAGACAACAATAAAATATTCGCACCAGATTTTAAATTATGAGGGTAGCAAATTTAAACTGTAATTATACTATCTCTTCAATAATTTTAAGAAAAAAATCTGAACAAAAGAAGATGAATACAAAATCTTAAGGGCTAGATGATAAATATCTAGTAAAATACAACCATCGAGAATGTGACGGGGAATTTTTAAATGGGGAAAAGTATGGAAAATGGTCAATTTAATGGGATAATGGAGAATACTATTCTGGAGCTTGAAAAATTATAAGTTGACTCTAAGAGGTCAGTTTAAATTTGCTCATGGAAATTTTGATGATTGAAAAGAATGGAAATGAGCTATTGAAATTTGCTAATGGTAAACCAATATTAAGAAAGTGAAAAGAGTGTCTATAATTGGGTTAATGGAGATTAATATGACGGAGAAAGAAGTGGAAAGGGTCTAATGAAATGGGCTAAAAAAGCTTGATCTTATAGTGACTGGAAAATGGTAATCTAGATGGAAAAAGTCAAATGAAATTTGCTGACGGATCTTATATGATAGAGACTGATTCATTGACTAAAGGCATGAGCATGAGGAATATAAATCAGCTAATGGTGGAAACTTTAATGGTAAGTGGTTGTTTAACAAATAAATGTGAAATTTAAAATATATTTATATCATCAAATATTAATATATGAAATTTCACATTAAAATAAATAAATAATATCATGTAGTATGTAAAAAGATTTATTCAATAACAAGGAGTAACAGAAATGCACTACAAAATTGCAACACCACCATCAAGTTGAATCCAAATGATAATAACTTAGGTATGAAGTAGTAATTAAGTCTGAAATTCTATTTAAAGAATAAGAAGAAGAAGTAAAGTGGTCCAAAATTATAATAACTAATTCTTATTTGCTCCAGATCATCCAATTTTACCTGTGTACTTAGGGAGTGGTTATTTTAAAAATAGATAATTTGATTAAGCAAATCCGTAGATCACAAGAGCACCAGTAGTATTCGATACTATTTATCATCACTAATTTTGAAATATAAATATCAAACTCAAAATTTTAATCTGTTCAGAACAAAATTATCCTGCTAAAAGAAAACTAAATTCAATAAGGACAAGTCATCTATAGCTTGAATATTTAGCTAAGGTTAATAAAGATAGTAAGCTTATTAATTATAAGAAATGCTAAGAAGGTTGAATTGATTTAAATCCTAAAATAACTGATTAAATAGAAATCCTAAATAAGTTGAATTTTAGATTAAAAACAACAATTTGATAACTTTTTTGAAAAAAGCGCATAGAAGAAAGATCAGAATCACTCTAATTTAGGGAAGAAAAAATAAGGTATAAATAATTGAAAAGAGCTTTCAAAATATTACACCAGCAATTTGATAGTTTGAGGAGTACCATATGAAATGAAAATAAGATATAGAACTAGTAGAAATCAAAGGTAACTAGATTTGAGATTAACAAAATTTGAGCTAAATGTCTTTAGAAAAATATTAATTAGCAACTAGAAAAGAACTTTGAGAAAAGAAGTAGTTTCCGAAATCTTGACTTGATATTCTTTTAGCATAGGGGAAAGTGGTAA